AAAAGCAATCAAATCTATGCAAACCAACACTGCAACAACATTAACTAGTGCACGTTTCTATTGGGATACGAATGCACTCTATTCATACTTGGCACTGGTTCATATTTAATAAAATTATGTGTTCTAATTCACAATATTGGAAATCAATGGAATTATATTAAAATTAATAATTTTTCTATGGAATAATGGAATAACTGTTTTCATAATATACAAATACCGAACAAGTAATTTTAATTTTAGAGAGAACAAATAACTGTACATGCAATTTGTACAATTAAACCCATTCACAAGCATATATATATATATACAACATTCAAGCAAACAGTAGAACGACATACATAAAAGAATCTTCTGAAGTAAAGCAAACTAATAAAAATCATAAATTTCTTTGACGTAGAATATTATTTTATCCTTAAATCAGGCTTTAAATGGCGTCTTATATACGACTAAAATATATTGTATTGTCTCTCATTTTTGTACACTCTTGCCATGCTGCTTCCATATCTTCTGTACTATTTAGCTATTCATAAAAACCCTCTGTCTATATATATACGGCATAATATATATATATATATATATATATATATATATATATATATATATATGTTATGGCGTGTTATTACAAATTAACACATCTATCTTGCATTCATAATTATAATTTTTCCTTCTTGGCTAGTTAGTTAGCTAGTTAGTCAATTCGTTTGTTTGTTTGTTGGTTGGTTGGTTAGTTAGTTTGTTTGTTAAGTGATTTTCACTCGAATTATTATTACTTTTATATTCTTTCTCTACTTCTTTTCTTTAGCGGCAACCTTCCCTTCATCCTTGCCTAACCTATTTGTTTCTCTCCATTCTTACTTCAGCATCCGAATTCAAATCCACAGCATCATGAGTTTATTAAAATTTTATCCTAAATCGAGGTGGATTAAAATAGGAAATAGGGGAGAGAAACGCAATGATTACAAATTTTATATAATACATCCACATTACAGACGCATATATATATATGTGGTGTATATTGTATGATTATTGGTGGATAGTGTGTAAGGGTTACAGTCTCAATAAATGTTATGATAACACTAATAATAATAATAATAACGTTTTAAAACTGGAGTAATAATTTTCAAGAAATAAAAACTTTGTCCGCTTTTCGTCTATTCATTTACACACGGATAGGTTTTTTAAAAAAATAAAACCTTTAATCCCCTAAACTTTTATACTTTAATTTCTACACGTACGCACGTTTATATACAGATAACATTTATAGCTGTCTAATTAAAAATGTTCAGTGCAGTTAAATAAACAATATCTTTTTTCAATACATATATATATTTGTTTAAAAGTAATTAAATTATACTGGCGCCTTTATTGATGATGTATATATTGATTTATGAATAAGTTGAATGTGTATCTTGCTCTTAATTCATTTTGTTTTAATTATTTGTGTTACCATTGTAATAAATTTAAAATGTTATGGCGCGTAATTTTTATTGGTGCTAATAATAGTTAAAAGTAATCGCTAACTTATAGAAAAAGAGAAATGGTAATATCTATTGTTTCTTTTTTATTCCTTCACGTTCCCATTTGAACATAGGGCTTCAAGCCAGAGGTCTGAAGTTTCAGTAACAGTGGTGTTTATTTTTACTGGATAGGGTGGTTAGCCTCATAGCCAGCCTTCGAGTGCGTCGGTGGCGGGGATCCAATCCCGAATCACATGGGTGGTTGGCGAGCATTCTGTCGCTGTGATACCGACGCACAGGATATTAGTAATTCCTGAAATCTACTTAAACACCACAAAATCGATGTGAATTTGTTTCCAAAATGTAAATTTCATGTTTACACAGTACACGTGTATTTACTAGATATTTCTCGTCTAAGATCCATTCAAATCTATTATTAAAACACAGTAAAAAGTAAGGATTAATTAACTGCACAAAATTTGTGAAACCCAATAAAATAAACATAATATACTTTCATTCATTTTTGATTTTAGCTGACATACTTGATATATCAAAGTTATAAGACATATTTTGTTATGTAATTGATTCTGATTTCAATAAACAGCTGCTCAGGCCGGTGGGTGCGTACTGATGAAGAGTCCCATACTAGGACGAAACAGCTGTCCAGTACTCCCAGGTTTTCCAGTGGTTCTCTAACTAATGTCAGCTCATGATGAAATCCTCCATGCAACCAAACAGAGGAAATCGTCTGAGGAGGATGGATGGATGACCATGAAGCCACATGAGACGGACTACAGAGAAAAGACTGAAGTGGATATGTGTTGCTGAAGCTTTATGCTCCAATCAAAACCTAAGGGAATAATAATAACAAATCTATCTAATGCTTTTTATGTCTATAACAACTGACTACTGAGTCATGAAAAAGTAGTTTATATTTCGTTGTCATAAGTGTACTTCAAGATGCTGGTAAACAAAAGCTGAAGTGGAAAACTAAAGCTCCACTTTACAATTCATCAATGACGTACAATTTCTAGGCATTTCAAACATAAAAGGTGCAAATTTTAATTATTCACTAACTGACGTTGATTTACGGTAAATACTCTGCACAACATGAGCTGAAATCACTTTATCCTCTCGATTAGAATACATACATTCGAGATATCCTTAATCTATGACTTCATTGTCATTTTTCAATCCATATTTGTAAGCCAGTACCTGTACATTCCTTCTAAACTACAAATTCAAAATCCCGGTTTGTAGATTTCAAGATTAAGCTAACTTTCTCTAAGTGTTATCGCTGTACATATTGGTTACAGATTGAGAAGACTTAAAACCCTCTACTGAAAACAATTGAACAGCTAGTCAATGTATTAATCGATTTGCGAGACAATTATTATCTAGGTTACAACTTTTGACTCACTAACACAAGGCTTTTCTAAATATTTTAGTAGATGACTACAGGATTTAATTCATCAGAATGCCGAACCAATAGTATGAATATCAATAAAACAGAAGGCTACAATCATTCAAGCTTTATTTCAATTTCAGTTATCATCCTCTACTTGCAGGTCAAGGTTACTAAGATCAGTATGCCTGCAAGCTCACTTACTTCAGTGAAGCTAAAAATCAAACCTCATATAGCGCACATTTTTAAGACAAATGTCCCAAGTTAAAACTATCAAGTAACTAATTCAAATCAACCATTTACTGAATTCTCAAGAATATATGGGATTTAGTTCAGATAGCTGTATGGATAAAGAAAGAACGAACATTTTTTCAGAATAATACGAGCTCGTTTTATTTTGTGGATTTTCTTCAGCTGCCTACATCCTAAGTAAATCAATTATATTTTACAAAGTGGTGTCTGATCATACTTTTTACAATGATTTTAAGTCATAGATAGAGAGTTTTTTTCCTTCACGTTTCCAGTGGAACATAGGGCCTCAAGCTAGTGGCTTGAAATTTCTGTAGCAGTGTTTAATTTTACAGGATGGGGTTGCTAGCCTCATGTCCAACCTTTCCTCTCCTTTACCAGCATTATTTCTGGCTTAGCGAGGTAAAGGAGTGCGTTGGTGGCCGGGGATCGAACCCCGGACCATGTGTATGGTCGGCGAGCGTCCTAACCGCCGTGCTACAGACGCAGATAGAGAGTATAAGCAACATAATTTCAAACATGATGTAAGTAGACAATTATTTAGTATTAAAAGGGTAACTATACAGTAATTATACAAAGGGATAGAGTTCTGATTTTGTTCAGATTCAAGGGTAGACTAGGAACAATTACAAGACAGGACAAGAGAGTTAATTTATACATATTATGGTGGAGAGTTCAGGTGGGTGGGTGTGAATTGTGAAGCAAAATTATGAAATAGATAAAATAATTTAATTTAGATTTGGAACCTTAATAGTAAGTTCACCTCAGTTGAGTGGAATGTTATGCAACAGAACAAACCACAAAAGCACACGAACAATGCAAATATGGTTACCAGGGTAGTGACAGATTAGTTACACACACTCTCTCTCTCTTTCTGTATGCATTGGTTGGATCGAAGTCTTTTGACGACAATGGCTTCTGCGAACCGAATTAACCATACTTTTCTTAATGTAATGATTATTTTGAAAGCCTGACTAGTTTCCACCGTGTGTCCCATGTCAATTAGATGTCTGGCAATTGCTTCTGAGAATACTTTACTTTCTTTCAAACGGAGACTTTTAGGCATATGCTCTGATAATCTAGTAGACATCCTCCTCTCAGTCTTTCCTATGTACTTGGTAATGATAGGATCCCACATATTTTGGTATTGACTGTTTAAACTTGCATATATGGTATGTTATCATTCTCACACATTTTGGTATTGACTGCTAATTTTATATATATGGTATATTATCATTCCCACACATTTTGTTACTGACTGTCAATGTCGCACATATGGCATATTATCATTTCTCACACACTTTGTTATTGGCTATTAAGATAAATTATTTCAAATGCTGTTAGCTGTCCATATTGTTGTAAAATGTATAAATACCATGGCTTTCTTTATCGTTGTTGCACCTCAATACACAGTCACAGTCCAGCCTTTGTCTTTTGATATTTGCGTGCTTTACTAAGTCGGAAGGTACGACGAGCAGATAGGCAGATTAGTTCAGGCGCAGACAGAATAAGGTGAAAACGTCTTCATTCAGTTCCCTACAGATATAACAAATTGGCGACGGGGATTTACTTTAATTCATCGCAGTTATAGCACGCAACGACGACAGTTTTTATTCTGTTCAGCGCAACTATATAACATTTTTGACTGTGTTAATTACAACCCAATTATAATGTCTATCTCTCTGGACGATCTTCCGGTGACTGCAGTTGAGGTTGCCAGACACACACTGCGTGATCCAGTTTTACAGCAAGTATCAAAGTTCATCCGATTTGGCTGGCCTCCACATGTTCATTCAAATGTTTTAAAACAGTTTTACCAGCGACACCAATCCCTATCCATCGTTAATGGATGCATAATGTTTGCTGATCGTGTTGTCGTTCCAGCTAATCTTCGTGACCATGTGCTTCGGCAGCTTCATATATCACATCCTGGTGTTGGGAGAATGAAGGCGATCGCTCGCAGTTATGTTTACTGGCCCAACATCGATGACCATATCGAAGACCTCGTTCGCAAGTGTAGTAAATGTGCTCAAGCATCAAAGTGTCCACGCAAGACAGAACTATGTTCCTGGCCACGACCGGACAAACCATGGTCCCGTGTTCATGTTGACTTCGCTGGAACGTTCAATAGTATGCATTTCTTAATATGTGTCGACGCGTTTTCCAAATGGCCAGAGATATTTCCTATGCATTCTGCCACATCAATTGCAACAGTGTCCCACCTACGTCAACTATTACTGAACGTTTCGTCGACACCTTTAAGCGTGCTTATGCAAAAGCGAAGGGGGAGGGAACAACAGAAAAAAATTTTGGATAAATTCTTGCTGCATTATCGTACGAATGAAAAAGGACAGTTATGTGTCAGACACACAGATCACGCTCTATCCAGTACCACGCAAAAGTCAACTCGACAAAGAAGAGCTCCAAAACCTTTTCAAATAGATCCAAAAAGCAAGTCCTACACTCTTTACGGGGGGAGGTGATAGGATCCCACATATTTTGGTATTGACTGTTTAAACTTGCATATATGGTATGTTATCATTCTCACACATTTTGGTATTGACTGCTAATTTTGTATATTATCATTCTCACGCATTTTGGTAGTGACTGCTAATTTTATATATATGGTATATTATCATTCCCACACATTTTGTTACTGACTGTCAATGTCGCACATATGGCATATTATCATTTCTCACACACTTTGTTATTGGCTATTAAGGTCAATTATTTCAAATGCTGTTAGCTGTCCATATTGTTGTAAAATGTATAAATACCATGGCTTTCTTTATCGTTGTTGCACCTCAATACACAGTCACAGTCCAGCCTTTGTCTTTTGATATTTGCGTGCTTTACTAAGTCGGAAGGTACGACGAGCAGATAGACAGATTAGTTCAGGCGCAGACAGAATAAGGTGAAAACGTCTTCATTCAATTCCCTACAGATATAACAAATTGGCGACGGGGATTTACTTTAATTCATCGCAGTTATAGCACGCAACGACGACAGTTTTTATTCTGTTCAGCGCAACTATATAACATTTTTGACTGTGTTAATTACAACCCAATTATAATGTCTATCTCTCTGGACGATCTTCCGGTGACTGCAGTTGAGGTTGCCAGACACACACTGCGTGATCCAGTTTTACAGCAAGTATCAAAGTTCATCCGATTTGGCTGGCCTCCACATGTTCATTCAAATGTTTTAAAACAGTTTTACCAGCGACACCAATCCCTATCCATCGTTAATGGATGCATAATGTTTGCTGATCGTGTTGTCGTTCCAGCTAATCTTCGTGACCATGTGCTTCGGCAGCTTCATATATCACATCCTGGTGTTGGGAGAATGAAGGCGATCGCTCGCAGTTATGTTTACTGGCCCAACATCGATGACCATATCGAAGACCTCGTTCGCAAGTGTAGTAAATGTGCTCAAGCATCAAAGTGTCCACGCAAGACAGAACTATGTTCCTGGCCACGACCGGACAAACCATGGTCCCGTGTTCATGTTGACTTCGCTGGACCGTTCAATAGTATGCATTTCTTAATATGTGTCGACGCGTTTTCCAAATGGCCAGAGATATTTCCTATGCATTCTGCCACATCAATTGCAACAGTGTCCCACCTACGTCAACTATTACTGAACGTTTCGTCGACACCTTTAAGCGTGCTTATGCAAAAGCGAAGGGGGAGGGAACAACAGAAAAAAATTTTGGATAAATTCTTGCTGCATTATCGTACGAATGAAAAAGGACAGTTATGTGTCAGACACACAGATCACGCTCTATCCAGTACCACGCAAAGGTCAACTCGACAAAGAAGAGCTCCAAAACCTTTTCAAATAGATCCAAAAAGCAAGTCCTACACTCTTTACGGGGGGAGGTGATAGGATCCCACATATTTTGGTATTGACTGTTTAAACTTGCATATATGGTATGTTATCATTCTCACACATTTTGGTATTGACTGCTAATTTTGTATATTATCATTCTCACGCATTTTGGTAGTGACTGCTAATTTTATATATATGGTATATTATCATTCCCACACATTTTGTTACTGACTGTCAATGTCGCACATATGGCATATTATCATTTCTCACACACTTTGTTATTGGCTATTAAGATAAATTATTTCAAATGCTGTTAGCTGTCCATATTGTTGTAAAATGTATAAATACCATGGCTTTCTTTATCGTTGTTGCACCTCAATACACAGTCACAGTCCAGCCTTTGTCTTTTGATATTTGCGTGCTTTACTAAGTCGGAAGGTACGACGAGCAGATAGGCAGATTAGTTCAGGCGCAGACAGAATAAGGTGAAAACGTCTATCATTCAGTTCCCTACAGATATAACAAATTGGCGACGGGGTTTTACTTTAACTCATTGCAGCTATAACAAATTGGCGACGGTTTTACCTTAATTCAGTGCAGTTATAACAGGTAACGAAAGTGCAGATGAATTGGTAAATGCAGTTGGAGTTGACATGAGAACAATACCTATCTCCCTTTGACTGGGTTAACGAGTTTACTGTGTTGTAAAGTGGAATGAGTCTAGCAGTGGGAAATGCCATTTTCAATGCACGTTTAATTCCGTTTTCTATTCTTATAGATACTTATTCGTCTTTCTACGCTAGACAGATGAAAACTGGTTTCTTTTCAACTATTTCGTGTTTTGGTTTAGGTAGTTTTCCCTTCCCATATTTTGATATGAACCTCTGAGGGTATCCATTTTCTTCTCGATGGCTGCGAGTTGCTCTTCGATCTTGTCTTTTGAACACAGCATCCTAGCTCTAATGAAGAGCGTTTTCACCAGGCTCCATTTGTAGTAGATCGAGCAGAAACTATGATAATTCAAGTGTTGGCCAGTCCAAGCTTCTTTTCTGTAGATGGATTTTTCAATTGTCTCATCATTTCTTCTTTTTATGTTGAGATCTAGGAAGTAGTAGAACTGATTTTTACATTCATGGTCCATTGTAAATGTTATGTGAGGGTGAGCCGCATTGAAGTCTCCGAACATCGTGGATGCTTGATCCATATTACTGCATACCATAAATGTGTCATCAACATACCTGCAGTAATAGGTAGTCCTCTCTATTTCTGACCAAATTCGTGTCTGCTCAAGACGACACACGAATATGTCCACAAGAACAGGACCCAGTGGTGAACCTATAGCCACCCTGTCAGTTTATCAGTGCAGCTGGTTGTTGGATTAGAACTGGACGTCCTTTGTACAAAGGAATAGTATTTTTCGTAGCTCGTTTTCAGGGAGAGGAAGTAGTTTGGTTGCCGGCATATGATTCTCACTGTCTCTTTAATGAGTATTCTAGTGAACAGCGAACAGACATCATATGATACGAAAATTTCGGGTGAAATATTCAGTTGGTCCGATTCTTGTAAGAATTGGAAGGAAGCCTTGATACTGTGGACTGAAAACTTTTGTCCAAATGGTTCTAACTTTTGTCCCAACCACCTAACCAGTTCTTTTAAAGTCCTCTTTATAATTTATCCTCAAAGTACTGTGGGATGGTACAAGCAGCGCCAGTTTCGAAAAAAACTACCAAGCCTTTTTTTCTTCAATTCCTTTACTTCCCCGGTGAAACACAGTGCTTCAAGCTAGAAGTTTAAAGTTTTTGTAGCAATGCCTGCTGAGCCTAGATGATGGCAACTCCTGGATACAAGCCCAAACTTTGTATTCCGGGAAAACTTGTTCAATCTTTCATTTTGTCATTGTCTCAATTAAACTTCAGTAAATACTTCACGATTACCAGTCTCAGTATATTCCTCTTGTGTATTTGGGTTTTTTCTTCACCTCTTATATACTGTGTAAAATTAACGTTCAACGGACTCACTTCCTACCTAATAACAACTTCCACCCTATCGAGTTTCAAATCTTCACTACCATTATAAGTATCCAGACCGTTCAGAAAAATCTAATTTTGATTTCTTTTTAAACACGCTGAGATTATTTTGAATGTTTTATAATGCTTCACTATCATTGTTTGGTTGATTATTATGAAATTTTATCTTCCCAGGGTCTAGAAATCACATCCGAGTAAGTTTACTAACGATGTCATTTCCCTCTGTTAATCGATAACAGGGTTTTATGTTATTTTTTTTAATAGAGCTTCAAGTTTGATCTTTGAATTCTTAGTAGCAGTGGTGTTTTTTTGCGGGATGGGGCTGCAAGCATCCAGCCTAACCTTATCTCTGTATAAGGCCAACTACAAACAGTGTGGTTTAGGAGTGTGTCCGGTGGGAATCGAGCCCCGAACCATATGTGTGGATCGCAAGCAAAGCCCTATCCATAAAATGATACACCTACTGACTGGTTTTCAGGCGAAGCAAACAGACTCATCCGAGCCTCCTGCAAGAACAGGATGCAACCACTTGAGGGCCGTCTTGCTCCGGTAGACCTGTTACATCATTTGACTAATATAAATGCAATTGTTCTGCCACTGAAGTTGAATTCGCGAATACTGTAAGCTTTCTTCACTGAATTTCCTCTTTGTATTTCTCTACATGACTCAATGGTCATTTCCGTTCTTCTGTTTACTTAGTTTTACGGGATTATTGTTACGCTGACTTTGTGCTGCAGTATCTCTTATAACTGCCTATTTTCTTTTGATGTTTGCTGGCAGTAAAATGCAGAGTTGTCATTTTCATACTGTCTGAGAACCTTTAAAAATTTTAACTAATTACTGGCTACCAGGATTATTTGCTTAAAATACTTATAGAATTCTTTGCATCCCTCAAAATGCATCTTATTTACTGCGACTGACATTGTTTTAACCATCCCAGAGCATTCATGAGTGGTGTGACCTACTCTCACACGTATCTTCAAAAAGGTTTCAACCTGCTTCCAAGACTTTTTTAAGGGAAATGGAAGAAAAGCACTGTGAAGTAATCTGGAAACCTTTGGATGGAATTCCACTGCTTCAAGTGATGGATTATTGATTGTTTTATTACTCAAAGATCTCACATAAAGAGTAAATACCCTACAATGAAACAAGCTGAAAATTCGGCATTGTGTTTAAAATGAGCCGTTCAGAATAAAATTATTATTATTGATTTTCATTACTTTTTCTATAGTTTGGTTTGTAAGGGTTAGATATGTTTTTACGAGTTGATCACGGATTGATATCAGTTAGAGAACCATTGAAAACCAGGGAGTACTGGACAGCTGCTGTTTCATCCTAGTTTGGAAATCATCGGAAGTACGCACCCACCACAAGGGTTCGAACCCGGGATTTTCCGGTTACAAGGCAAGCTGGCTCGTATACCATTCAGCCACTGGGACCCGATTCAATGGCTCGTGAATTCTAACTTCCACCAATTCGTGATTTAGCACGACGCCAACCATTGTCGTTGGTGGGACATCCATTCACACACGCGACATCTAAGTGGACCTCACTGGTCATGACTTCTCACTAGAACTCAGGAAACTCCATCCTGTAGCAGGTCACTAGCTAAATCACGAATTGGTGGAAGTTAGAATTCACGAGCCATTGAATCGGGTCCCAGTGGCTGAATGGTATACGAGCCAGCTTGCCTTGTAACCGGAAAATCCCGGGTTCGAACCCTTGTGGTGGGTGCGTACTTCCGATGATTCCCAAACTAGGATGAAACAGCAGCTGTCCAGTACTCCCTGGTTTTCAATGGTTCTCTAACTGATATCAATCCGTGATCAACTCGTAAAAATTTTCATTACCCAATATCATCGGCTTGGGAGACATCCTGTTGGTGTCCACTAGTTTGCCTGTTCTTCCATTTGATGCTGTCAACAGAAAGGAATCTGAATGTTCCTTTTCCTCGTATGCTAAATACTAGATAAATCATAAATGAAAGTAATTCATGTTTTACTTTCTAAAAACTTTGTATGTGTGGTCTATGGTGTGGTTGTTTTTTATTCCTTATGTCATTCGCATTCTTACTAAAATTTGTGTTTTCAATAATATGAACCATAAATTCCTGACGTCATTTATCTAACGCTTGATTACTAATCACCGCGTAGCATCCTGGAGGAAGAGGTATTCGTGTGTGTGTGTGTGTGCGTTTGTGAACAAAAACCGTCCATTTTCTATTGATGATACTCTGTTAGTCAGTCACTCGAGTGGGCGCGTGCATACATATGTGGTGTGTATGTGTACTTCTCTATATTCACTTCTTCGGTACTTGTTACACACTTACTCTCTCTCTCTCTCCCT